GTGGCAGGGAATTATTAGGAGTCAGAATGGCCCAGTCAGGTTCTAAGCAGGAGAATGAAGTTGTTCAGCTTCCCAAGCTTTTCCAGGGCTGAGAGATCAAGCTAAGTAACTTACCTAGACTCATACAGACTGAGAATTCAGTTGAGGATTCTGGGCTGTCAGTGTGCAGTCGTGTCTTTGTCGTGACATTTTTTCTGTAATGTAGACACTTCAGACTATGTTGAGGTAAATTTTACATTGCTTGTGTATTTGTTTAAATAGATTTGCCATGTTCCACAATGTCAGGATACCTAAAGAAAATATACTGAATATAGCTGGAGATATCACAGCTGAGGGGAAGTACTCAAGTTCAATCAAGGTATGAATCAAGGTTTCATTTCATTAATAAAGTTAATTAAATATAGAAAGGTATAAGTAAGTTAAGAGATAGAGCACAGGCCTCTCATGTTGGGAAGTACTAGTTACTTTGACTTAAATAAAGCTGTTGATGATATCACATGAGATTGTCGGAATGCTGGGTTTTTAATTGCCTTTCAGAGATGTCTCAACTCACCTTACTGATTTTACTGACTTCTTGCTCTTTGCGATGCCCCGCTGATCCTGAAGTAGTTTAGAGAAACAACTTTGAGTCTTGCCTGAATGCCTTATCTGAGTGTGTCAAGAAACAAAATTGGCCAGTCCTCTGGACTTTTGATCATACTACCAGAGTTGTATCTTTACGAGGGAAGTAAATGAAATGTTAGCCTCACCGTTCAGTCTATGCCTTTTATTCATTCAGGATGGTAAGGAGCGTTTTGGTGCAGCTCTGGGATCCTTGTCCACTGGCAGAGTTGTGATCACAGCAATTTCCACGACCAATTTAAAGCTTGCCTTGTCGATAGCCATTCGCTTCTCAGCAGCTCGCCGTCAGTTTGGACCAACTGATGAAGAAGAAATACCTGTTCTTGAATACCAAACACAGGTAAATACCTTAGAATTCACACCTGTAGATGTTTACATAATGAAACTCAGATTCAGAGTTACTGTAGATCAAAATAACGACATTTAAGTTAGTGAAATTAAAGTTGTCTGTGTCATCTGAAGTGTCTCTGTAGTGCAGCTGTGGGAATTCATTCCAACTCAAGACCTTCTCCTGGCATGATCAGGCTTTTGACATAAGTTCTTGGAATAGCAAAACCCAAAATCACAGAATCACAGAATGTTAGGGATTGGAAGGGACCTCAAAGGATCATCTAGTCCAATCCACCTGCCGGAGCAGGACCACCTAGATGAGATCACACAAGAACGCGTCCAGGCGGGTTTTGAACATCTCCAGAGAAGGAGACTCCACAACCTCTCTGGGAAGCCTGTTCCAGTGTTCTGTTACCCTTGCTGGGAAGAAGTTCTTCCTCATGTTTAAGCGGAACCTCCTATGTTCCAGCTTATATTCATTTTCCCTTGTCCTATCATTGGATGCCACTGAGAAGAGCCTGGCTCCATCCTCATGACAGTCACCCTTTACATATTTATAAACATTAATGAGGTCCCCCCTCAGTCTCCTCTTCTCCAAGCTAAAGAGACCCAGCTCCCTCAGCCGTTCCTCATAAGGGAGATGCTTCACTCCCTTAATCATCTTTGTGGCCCTGCGCTGGACTCTCTCAAGCAGTTCCCTGTCCTTCTTGAACTGAGGGGCCCAGAACTGTACACAATATTCCAGATGCGGCCTCACCAGGGCAGAGTAGACGGGGAGGAGAACCTCTCTCGACCTACTAACCACACCCCTTCTAATACACCCCAGGATGCCATTGGCCTTCTTGGCCACAAGGGCACATTGTGGTCATCCTGCTGTCCACCAGGACCCCCAGGTCCCTTTCCTCTGTGCTGCTCCCCAGCAGTTCAGTCCCCAACTTGTACTGGTACACGGGGTTGTTCTTACCCAAATGCAAGACTCTACACTCGCCCTTGCTGTATTTCATTAAATTTCTTCCCACCTAACTCTCCAAAATGCTCATGTTTCTCTGAAGTACCTAAGTAACATTTGTCTTCTAAAATAGTAACCTTTTCAGAGAAAGACTGCCTTCTATGCACACGTGAAAGTGATGCAGATGTAGAAACTAGTGTTTGTTTAAAAATGTCAGTGCCTCTTCTGCTGCTATGCTAATTTTCTCTTTTTTAGCCTTTATGCTTTAAAAGTGTAGAAATCAATTACATTCATTGTGGTGAAGTCTCAAGCTAGTACTAATTTTGAGAGGAATATAACCAATGGTTTTCTGCAGTTTATGTAGATGAAAAACACCCTTTGCTCTGGGAAAAAAAAAGAACAGGAGGATGTAGAATCGTAGAATCATAGAATGGTTAGGGTTGGAAGGGACCTCAAAGATCATCTAGTTCCAGCCCCCCTGCCATGGGCAGGGACACCCTCCACTACACCAGGTTGCCCAAAGCCTCATCCAACCTGGCCTTGAACACTTCCAGGGATGGGGCATCTACAACTTCTCTGGACAACCTGTTCCAGTACCTCACCACCCTCAGAGTGAAAAATTTCTTCCTTATATCTAATCTAAATCTGCCCTCTTTCAGTTTAAATCCATTGCCCCTTGTCCTATCACTATATGCCCTTGTAAAAAGTCCCTCTCCAGCTTTCCTGTAGGTCCCCTTTAAGTACTGGAAGGCTGCAATAAGATCACCCCGGAGCCTTCTCTTCTCCAGGCTGAACAGCCCCAACTCTCTCAGCCTGTCTTCATAGCAGAGGTGTTCCAATGTAGGGTGTCTGGCAAACAGAGAAAACTCAGATCTGCTGAATGAGAAGGGTTAATATATAGGAAATGCTGAAAACAAACCTGCCCAGTTTGTCCTTGCAAAGAGGGTGCTTTTTTCCAGGTTTGCACTTATTCTTGCAACTTTGAAAGATTTCATGGGTTTTTGCAAACCGGCGAAAGCTGTCGTCTTTCCATCTCTTCTGAATAAGCCACAACCTGCTTCCCACTGTTCTTCAAGTCTCAGTTTTTCGTGGTTTTGGCTTGTTCTGTAGGCTCTGCTTGCTGAACCTCTCATTCCCTTCTTGATCTACTACAAAAGCTTCCTCAAGCAGTTTCTCTTTTCCTTCATGGGCTCTGAGTTGCACAGAGCAGCAAAGATGCTTTTTTCTCTGCTTCCCAGCTCTACTTTTTTTTTCACAGAATGCAACCAGCTAAAGTACATTGAGCAATAAACAAACTGAAACAGTTACAATCTCTACCTTGGTACTGAAGAAACACATGAATCATATCTGGCCCAGCATGCCAGACATTGTATAAACACAGGGCAAAAATATGTCGTTGGTCCCTAAAGCTTCAGTGAACTTTTGCACTGGTTTAACAGAATGTTTATCACAAACTCATAAAATGCATGAACTAGAATAACGTAACTGTAACTTATGTATAGAGTAGTTACACTGAATTTTGCTTATAGATGGTTATTGTTAAGTTCTCTTCTCTGTAAAAGTTTTCCAATTTGAACGAAGTAAAAATGAATGAGTTCATTCAATATTATAAGATAGTTATATTGTATAATATTATATAAATATATCTTACAATATACATATAAATAACTATAAAATGCATACCAATTTGCAATCAAACGTATTTAATTTTTATTCTAGCAATGGCGTCTTCTTCCTTACCTGGCTGCCACATATGCCTTAGATTATTTCTGCAAATCCTTGTTTGAGAACTTCATAGAATTTTATGCAGGCTTGTTGACAAAGCAAAGGAGTCAGAGGCAGGTGAGATATTCGCACGTTTCTTGTTAGCTGAGTTCTTACTACAGTAACCTGGAAATTCTTAAATGAAGGACTTACCTAGAAGTCTTAGGCCATTGTACTATCAAGAACACTAGAACAATGTCTCAGAAATATGGGAATACAAAGTAGTGACTAAAGTTGCGTTCAGAAAAGCATCCAAATTAGTTTTGATCGGGTGGTTAAAGTTTCATTGGTTTCCGTGGGATTTAAGGTTATGTACTCTTGCAGAATTGTTTATCATAAATATATGATGATAATGCAAAATGAGCTTATAACTCTTGTAAATGATACTGCAGGGGGCATATATCAAAGACTTTCTGAAACGATGCTGTTCTCAATTCCTGCACAGACTCTGTGAGTCTGACTTGAGTTTGCAATTCATATTCATGCATTAGGATAAATATTTTTGGAGAAAAAAGTGAAGACTTTAGAATCTTAATGCGGAGTTTCTCGTTCATAATCAGACCATTGGAAGTCACCCCTTTACAAAGGAAATAGTTTGATTAATCTGTCTCAGTGCAATTTTTTTATAGGTAACATATAAATTTTATTTACTTTTTTAAATTTTGAGAATATGAATTGTTAAGGCCTACACACTACCTATGTGTTGCTCAGATCTCACTTAAACACTCAGGCTTTTTTCAGCTAAAATAAAACTCGTGAAAGATATATCTACTAACGGCTGGGTATTCTAATTTCTCCTTTTTGCACAAACCACAGAAGAATTTGTTTGAGCTTTTGATCTCCTGTTTTACCTCTGATGGTCTTCAGTGCAGTCACTAATCTTAGGCAAACCAGTGGCTATCAGGAGAAAAAATCGGATAGAGAAAAATCTGATCGTTGACAATGTTAAGAATGTAATCCTCATGAATTCCTTTTGTTCTACAGTAGGTCTTAAAAAAAACGCGAAAATTAACTCCAAAAAATAATCAGGGAGTTGCTGTTAAACAAACTTTGGTGGGATCAACCCACTGTCTCCAGAAAGTGGAATTCCAAACACATTTTCAGAGGAAGGCCAACAGAGTTAATGTAAATGCAGGCTACTGTGATTCTCTGGAAATTGAGGGGGTACATTTAAATTTTCCTACTCTTTCCAAAATTGATACTTCGAAGATCAGTGAAAACCATATAAGGCAGTAAATATTATAAATATCCCCTTGCTGACTGGGGAGAGAGGGATTGCTCATGTAACACAGGGGACTGAAGCTTTCTCTGGATATGCCACCTTCAACCACCTGATTTTCCATCTTTGAGAGGAAAGTACTTGCAAGCAGTGAACTGTCCCATGCATTGCCATGTCAGGTGGCACATCTGAGCTAAAATGTACTCATGTGTCCATTACCTGGCACAAATTATTGCTGTCCCGTATAACAAAGTTAGTGCTGAAGGTTTTTCAGTTTTGGCAGGGGTTTTCTGCGGCAGCGAAAAATATGCTCTGCCCTTACATAGATCTCAGAAAATTTTATGTATGTATTGCCACATGCATTTTACTTTGTGTAAAGTTTTGTGAGTTATTACTCACTTGTAACTTGTTTTTCACGAAGGCTGATTTGGGACGTGAGATTCATGCCTTATCTGCTGCCAGCAAACCGCTGTCTTCTTGGACTGCTCAGCAAGCAGCCCAGGAGTGCCGAGAAGCTTGTGGAGGACATGGTTACCTTGCCAGTAAGTTACAGGCTACTGTGCACACTCGTCAGAAAGAGAATGGTTATGTTGATGTGTTCTTTGACTGTTGTTGTGTCATGGCGTCTGAATTTTAGCAATATGTTTAGAAAGGGTTTTTTCCTCATATCCATATTTTAAATTTCATTTCACACCTGATACCACAAAAAAACCCCGAAAACTGTGCAGCATCTGCACTAGCATTTGGACAGACAGTACATGTGATACAGTCTCAGTTTCAAAAATAAAGATGCAGACTTTATACATGAAAATTTGCGTTGTAAGATGAATATTACACTTGTCTAAAATCTTTACAGTATAGGGTGTCCCTGCCCATGGCAGGGGGGTTGGAATTAGGTGGTCTTTGAGGTCCCTTTCAACCCTAAGCATTCTGATTCTATGCATCATGATCATGATCATGATTTATGCATCTGATTCTAAGCATTATGATTCTGTGATGCTATGATTTTCATATGCTAAACAGTGAACTTTCAAGCTCATCTGTTGCTAACAATAGCTAAACATACAGGAACAGACAACTCTCTTGCATTTTGTCACAGAATAATTATTTAATCCCTTTTACCTTCTATTAAATCATTGCAGTATATTAAATTGTGCACTTGTTCTTATTAAGTGAATCGTCTGGGTGAAATCCGAAATGACAATGATCCAAACTGCACATATGAGGGAGATAACAATGTCCTGCTTCAGCAAACCAGCAACTACTTAATGAGCTGGATGAATTGCATAAGAGGTAAGTTTTCATTGTGGAATCTTGTGCTGGACCTAACAGTGTGTACCTAATGGAATTAGGAGGTAATTTCATCCTGAAAGCAATTGACAGTCATTTAATCATTTTGTAGAGCGTAAATAATGTGCTACAGAGTCCATCATATGATACATTCACAATACACAGGTATTTGCTGCAAGAAATATACTTTCTCATAAGTCCTGCAGAAGCTAGCTAGATGTTTTGCCATCCCTAGTCAGGTTAAGTAGTATCTTACTCCCTAAGAAGTGCAGTTTAGGTCAGTGGAACTACTTCTAAAGTCATTGTAAGTCTGAGTACCCTCTGCTCATTGTACTTAAAACAGCTCCTATCACCTAACTTGGTAGCAATATCCATCAGTACATTTTGTAATTCTCTAAATAGATTATTTTGTTTCAGTTTTCTCACACTGAGTTTCACAAGCATCTTACAGAACTGGAAAACTCAACAGTAGGAGTTGAATCTTATGGGGCTTGTAGGCAGTGATGTCAGGTTTTTCAGCACTTATCCACCAGTCCTCGTTTGGCTGGACTAGGCCATAATAAAATAAATATTATGGCCTAATTGCATCCCTATCAAGTGTTTGCATGGCTTTGCAATAGGCTTTTAGTTCCAAAGAGTCTGATTTCTTTTCTCATAAATCATTTTTATTTTCTTTGGTATTTCAGATAAAGCTCCTTTTGAATCCCCTTTTGGAACTATAAACTTTTTGCAAGACTACCATCATATCCTTAGCTGGAAATTCACAGCCATGAGTGTTGAAGATTGCATGGATTCGTCAGGTAGCCTTCTGCTTCTGTTAAACTGATTCTAGAATCTTAAATTCCTTTTCAGAGGAAAGGTTCCAGAGATTTGAGATTCAGCCTCTGCTGCTTATTAGATATTTGTCATATTACTATTTGCTGGCTTTGTATTGTATGCATTTCAATTTACTAAGAACATAGTTTGCATTTCAAAATATGTCCTATTGTCCCCAGCCTCAATTGTGGAATGGAGAATAGCATCAGATATTTTTCTTCCATTTTGTTCCTCTAAAATAGCATTTGTGATATAATTTTTTTCCCACTGTATTGTTTTCAAGTGAAACTGTTGTAAGGGACATTGATTGCCGCTACCTTATATCACTAAAATGTCTTATTTCAGAAAACCGTACAAGTGAATTAGAAATACATTGAAAAGGCTTTAAATGTGTCTACTTTGACAGTTGCAGAGAGAAAAATGAGTAATCAGGAAGGAAAATTCCCTGCAGTTTTCCTGGCTCACTCTGCTGTAATCAAATCAAGGATGACACTAGATGCCATTACCACTTTTGTATCACCGTGAGCCCAGATTGGCCGTTGGAGGCAAGAATTAACAAAGAAATGAGCAGATAATGAGACAGTGACAGGGCATTGAGCACAAGTGAATCTGTGAAACTGAGAACATGCTGGGGGAGGAAACTCCAGTCGTGATATATAAGGGGCAATCGAGCTGATTCCTAGGATTCAGTAACTGCTTCAGTGCGCAAATAATGGCAAAAAAGCTGAACTTTGGATAGTGATGCGTAGTACCAAGTGAGATAGCATCATAATAGCTGTGGGGTAAAATCTGAATAACTTTAAAATAAAAAGGCTTATAAGAAAAAGACTAGTTTAAAACAACTGCTTGCTTTTTTCTTTGGTGCCTGTCTCCGACTTGTGAAATCCAACAGAGCACAAACTGATACCTAAGCACATGTTTTCTCCTCTCTTTTAATACCTACTGAACCAGACTATAGTTTTAGAAATATCTGAATCTGTTTATTGTTCCATTCTATTAGAAACTGGACTGTTAATTTAGGTGCCTAAATTTAAGCAGCATGTGAACACTCACAATTGCCTAAATAATAGCCTACATTAAATCTTAAGCTAAGACACAAGCAAGTAGGATTCATAAAAGAACTTCACGCTGAAGCACTTTTCTCCTAAGTAGTTCCAGGCTGCCCTAAACATATAATGCACTTACGTACAATGCAGGTCATTCAAATGCAATTATGGTCAGCCACCTTTGCAATGTTAGAAGTCATGTGCTTCCACGAAATGTGGACTGTCTTCTGTTCTTGTATTGTCAGAAGAGACTGAGTACCTTGCAAGACCTGTCTTAATATGGGACGAAAATGACAAGAAAAAAAAATTGATTGAGTCAGAAGTCTAAACTGAGCTGTGGATATACCTTGTCTTTTAGCTTGAGGTCAGTTTGAGCTAGTGTATGGTCAGGCATGGTGTGTCTTCACTCAACAGTTACAGTCTGACTATCTTACCCAGCTGTTATTTATTGCATCTACGATAATGGGCAAAATGTCATATTAATGGGTTGGTTAATTAACGCTTTCACTTTTTGTCTCAGGTAGCAAAAACTGAGACTGCAGTAGAATCTTTGTGTGACTTCTTGCATTATAAATGTGACTGTTAAGAATTTTTATTTTCTTTTTTACAGTTCCTTTAGCAGCGTATAAATGGCTGGTTTGCTACCTGCTCCGAGAAAGTGACCTAAAGCTGAGCAAGGAGAAGCAGTCTGGGCGAAGTGATTTTGAGGCAAAAAACAATTGTCAGGTAATACTTACTCAGCTTTCTTATTTTATTTACTTATTTTCGTCCAAGTTTGTCAGAGCCTGTTAGTTTTATCTTCTTGTGTCATGAAATACGATTTCCTCAGGCATAAAGCAGCAAGTGAGCTAATTAATAAAATGTAATACCTGTCCATGTGCATTATATTGAACATTATAGCAGGAGGACAGTTACCATCAGCAGAAGTCTTCCAGGATATATTTCCCTTCAGAAAAGTTGCAGGCATGTGCTGGGTGATGCCTGTAAATTTGATAGCACAACTTCGGAAGACTAAATCTACTATTAAATCTACTGCAGCATCCGATTATTACATCTCCATCTGCTCTTCTGGCCAAATACATACTGTAGGAAAGAATCTTGCTCTGGCAAGTAGGTAAACTAAATGACCTAATAGGTCTTTTCCATCTCTTAATTTCTATAGTGCAAAGTACTCATGAAAGATACCAGACTAACAGCATTGGAACCCAAAAAGGAAACATTGACAATCTACATATAGCAGATCTACTCTCTCACCAGTGAATTTTCACAGCTAGGAATGGCTTAACTCCAAATTTCAGTGAATATCACCAAGCTCCCCAAATTCTTCCATCTCCTCCATGCGAGAATCTTGGCTCGCATCCAAGGAAAGAACACTTATCACTTGTCACTGAGGAGAGATCTGTTCCCTGAAGATGGCCAGTGTCATTCACCTTATCTTCAAAGTTCATTAAAAAATATCAGGAAGGAATATTCAACTCTGCACCTAGAAGGAGCCAGCCTAGCTTCAACAGGTTGTGAAGCCACTGGTAGAGTGAAGGAAATCTTTCCTGGTTTTACACTAGAACCAGCTTATTAGAGAAAGTCTTCAGGGTCAAATTCAGAATAGGAATTACCAGAAATTCAAGTCTGATTGCCTGTCAGTTGGCCAGCTCTTGGGAGGCTGATGCTGGTGCCAGTGTGTGAGAAAGAATGGTTTGCTCAGAAGTATGAAGGTTCTCTTCTCTTTTATGTTCAAATATGCTAAAATTTAAAGATAACTTAGGCACACAACTGCTTTTCAGATAGACATTGATATACCTTAGGTCATAAGGTTTTCTTTTCTCCCTTTTTCATCTTTAGGACAGCGAGATTTTTTATTTTAAATGGCATGCCTCAGAAACATCTGAAAATTATTTGCAAGTTTTGCTTTAAAGACATGTACATATTTGATTTAAAACTTTTTGGGCATGAAGAAGCACTTTTCTGTCAGCCCAGTGGCTGACTAATATATAATATTTTTTCTTGCTATGGGAGATCTGGAAGAGATTCCTAGCCTATCCTTAGGCTGTTTTGGTTTGGGGATAGCCTGATACAAGCAATACAGAATTGCAAAAAAAGGTACAGAAGGAAATAGAATTATAGGGGGGAAGAACAGGGAATTAACGCTTCATTTGGGATATGGAGACTTATGTCATTCTGACTAAGGAATTGACACTCATATCTAAAAAAGTTCATCTAGCGAGGGGAAAGTCCTCCCTAAATCTGCAGAGAATAGACGTATATTTTGCAGTTCACACTTGTATCTGATCGTGGACCTAAGCATGCCACTGAACAACTATTGAGAGAGACAGCAGTCTTTGGAATATGCCTTTTTTAAATCCCACAGTGCATTTAAATGCAAGGATAATGCAATTATTCAAAAGAAAAAAAGAAAAATTAAATCAACTGTTCTAAATGGAAGAAGAAACCCTGAACAAATGAGCTAAAACCAAGCACCAGTTTACAGCATTGGAACAAATCAGCCACCACAGCAATAGTTTCATATTCCCCTTCTGTTCACCCCCTAGAATGTTTTCAGTCAGCAGTCTATTTCATGGTAGGACATATGCCATGATACAGCAAAGACGAAGTATATAAAAGCAGAAAAGTGTTTCTATGCGAGTACAATCGCTTACAGTTTTATGTTCCATGTTAACAGTAACTGGTTACTTTTGCCTTTCTGATCACATAGTTGGCAAGGATTAGTTGGATAGTTTTTTCAAAACGTATTGCCATCTGTTACAATCCATAAACAGAATGCACTCATGCTATCATGGTCAGATTTTTTATTTATTATTCGAATGGACTGTAATAAGTTTTCAATAGGTTACTGAACCACTTTGAAGATACTGTCTTCTTTATAAAATTCTGCATAATACTAAATAAATGTAAACCTATCTTTATCTTATTTCAGTTGTATGGGTGTGTTAATGATCCTAAAGTCAGCAAAGCTGATTTTGCACGGTCTCCTCTCTGATGTAGCTACTTCATCCCATAGAGTCTGGGTGCAACTGCCGAATTACATTGGCAATAGGCATACAATCTGCAAGCTCTTTGGATTGGTATAAGAGAGTACCCAAGCTGGAACACAGTGGAAAATTAGGATCTTATTTCTAAGAGTCATTTCATGACTAACCTTTGCAAAGACATTGTAGAATCTATGTTCTTCTAGAGTTTCTTCTCAGACTTTCTTTAATCTCAGAGCAGCAGATCTAAATCAACAAATCTCCGCTAACTTCACCAGGGCAATGCCACTTTGCACCAGCTGAGGTTGGTTCTTTGTATGTTTTTACTCAGTATTCTTCTTTTTTGTTTCCTAAGGTGTACTACTGTCGATCATTAGCCATTGCTTTTATTGAGCAAACAGTCTTACAAAGATACCATGACTACACTCATGAACCCAGCATACCATCTTCTCTGCAGCCAGTGCTTAAGAACCTCAGTGCTCTGTATGGACTCTGGTCTTTAAGTAAGCATCTGGCTGTGCTCTACCAAGGTAAGATCAGCTCCCTGAATATACTGTGCATGTATAAAAGTCCTAACTTAAAGATTAGGAATTTTTTTTTCTCATATCTTGGTAGGGGAAGGGAATCCTAATTAGAATTTAGGTTAGAGCATTTGCTTATTGCCCATGTAATGTAAAACAACCATTCTGGACAAAATTTTCAGCCCAGAGCTACAAATTAACCCAAAGACTCTCTCTTAGCTCAGAGATGATGGAGAGCTCAGAAGTGGTCCAGTGCTTGGGGAGGGGATGGGGGATAGGCAGCCAGATGCTGTAGTATATCTTATTAATACAAAAGGCTCCAAATGTCTTAAATGGACAGTTTTGCTGTCAAGTCATTAATGAAAGACAGTCAATCCAATTATACAGGAGAATATTTAGTTTCTTGAATACTGAACTGATAAAGTCCTTTGTAAAATGATTGTTATCAGTGTAATCTTAACTGGTATAAGCTTCTTTGTGAATGTATTTGCAGGTGGCTATGCTTCAGGTGAACAAGCTGGCAGGTTTATTCAGAATGCTATTCTGGAGCTCTGCCACAGGGTAAGCCTTCAATATTGTTTGTTTTGATTGAATATTAATATAGTATGCAAATACTAAAAAAGAGATGTATTGTATATTATATACTTCAGGGAGTAAATTAGCAGGATATGATATTTCTGTAAAGTTTAGTAACTCATTAACCCTGAATCTAGTCCTAGTTTACTTACAAAACCCAAAAAACAATATATCTTACAAAATAACACTATCATTTGTGACCTTGCAGTCTTCATTGGAAAGCCAGTGAAATACTGCAGTCCAGTTTGGTTTATTCCATTATTGTGTTAGCTCTTTTTTTGTCTCAACACAAAAGTTTTTCAAACTGGATCATATTCTCTGCAGGTAAGTAAAATTTCAACGAAGAATCTGGAAGTTATGTTTTTAAAGTTCTAAAATATATGGGTTTATGTGTATAAATAGTACCATCTTGGTTAAAATGTGGTTTAAAACCCCTAAGTGAAGGATGAAAACATTTAAAATGCAGTGTCTTTTTGGTAACTACTCTGGGATGAAAAAGAGCAGAATAAATCTAAACTCCTTATTGTGGATTTCTCTTAAGTTACCAATAGCTGGTACTTTATGAAAATAATCTTTATGCTGCTCTGTAGTTCATGGGTAGCCATTGACGACTACAGAAGTTGCCAAATGTATGTGTTTTCGTTTTTAACAGTTGAAAAATGATGCAGTTGCCCTGGTTGATGTCTTTGCTCCTCCTGACTTCATTCTCAACTCTCCCATTGGTAAAGCTGATGGAGAGGTAAGAAAACGCATTTTAAAATTTGTGAGTTTAATCACTAAGAAGGATATTGCCTGTAAATAGCCATAACATATTCAAGGCACTTCACAGCTACAAAATAAAAGGAAGATGCTTTTTCAGTGCAAGTACCATAGTTAAATTGATGTCAGTAGAAAATGGCATTTTGCATTTGCTGGAGATCGGCTTCAATGAGAAACTCATACAATATTGCTCTAGTTTGCTCTTGTGAGTATCTGTGCTGCTGAACAACAACAACAAAAATGATACCATCTCCTAAGATTCCTTTAGGAGTAACATGTCTTTATTATATAGCTTAATACCTTGGAGAGGTAGTAAGGTGCATTTCTTCTCTGCCTAGGATTTTTGCTGCCTTTGTTGGTATTCACACTACACCCAGTTTGTGTGATGTGCATATAGATTGTGTAGAAATTATTTATTTCTTTTAATTCTTAGTAAAATATTTATTTTAGTAAGAGAAAGGAAATTTTAAAACTTATTCCAGTTAAAAGTTATATCAGCAATTACACAATTCTTTGAGAATTCTGTTTACCCAGTGGAATAGAGTATCTTGTACTAACCAGTGCAAGGTACAGTATTGCTCAAGGGATCTCAGTGGTCTTAATACAGACTTGAAGGATGCTCTTTTGTTGGCACCTCTCCTTGCTTTAATGAGTATGTAATCCATCCTTGTTAAGGAAGAGAGATTTTTTTTTTTTGTTAATAGTCTAAATTACACAAAGCAAGAGTTGAATCAAGAACATAAGAATGGCCATACTGGATCCAGTTCGCAGAGTACTCTCCAACTGACAGTGCCCAGGGAAAACACTGTGAAACAGACAAAATATTGAAGTGTTCTTTCCCTCTTGGCAGTTGGTGGTTTAAGAGATATCTCAAGCCATGGGTTGTATTTGTATCATTCTGCTTAATAGCCGCAGATGTATCTATCTTCTGTTCAGCTTTCCCATCTATTTTCAAATTCAGCTGTCTTTCGGCTTCCATGACATCATAGTTTCCGTAATTTGCGTATTGTGAAAAAGTACTTCCTAGTCCCGGTCTGTATGCATTTACTATCTGTGGAGGCCTTTTCATTCTTGTGACAGGCCTTGTTTTCCTTCTGAGTATCTTTCCTAGTTCTGCCATATCTGTTCTGAGGTATCATAACCAGAGCTACAAGCAGGATTCAGGATGTGGGTGCAGCATGGATTTGGCTATACTAGGTCATGGTTCCCCTCTGCTTTTTTTGCCTTGACATACTTAAAGAGCTGTATTTCATTCCAAAGTCTCAGCAAACGGACATTCTTGCTTACTGGCCAACCCTACTCAGCAGAGCCAAGCTATGGGATAACTATTACGTACACACTGGTGTCACAGTGCAGTAGTTTGGTTTAGTGTGGATAGACCCTGTAGAGAATCACTGGAGCCTGGGGAGGCTGCCAGGAAGTTTGACAGAAATGCTGAGTCAAGTGTACTCAATGCTTTTCAATATTCTCTGTCTGTGTCTTCATGTCTAAAGTTGTCCATCGTTCCCATGGTGATGAAGCAATACAGAAGGTAGCCCAGAAGTTTCTAATGAGACACTGACCTAACAGAATGATCACTTTGGTAACGTGGTCTCTACAAATAAAGGAGGAAAGGCTAGATCTACGTATCCAGCCTTCTCAACCAAAGGGCAATGATCATCACGGGAGACTTGTTTCCCTTTCTGTAGATTTTTGAGGATTAAATTAATGAAAGAGGTCATGGCAGTAAAGCTCCAAAGGTAACTCTAAGAGAAGGAACGTCATCTGTAAGAATGTTATTGTCTGTACTGTCCAAAGCCCCATTTTCATCCATTATTCCATAAATATATAAATTTATAAATTTAATATATAAATCTACCAATTTACTAAGTCATACTGAGAAAATGATTTCAAGCAGTGATGTCCAACTCCTGTTCTGCAGAATTTCTAAGTCTGTGGTTTTCAACTTGTGGAAATGTTTTCAACTGAAATTTGAAAAAGTTTGCCAATCCATCACTCAAAGAAAATCCTTAATAAAGATCCTTGTCTCCTGGCTGTCTATATTTCATTCTCTATTCATTGCTATGTTTGCAATTTCTAAAAACCAATGCAAACATTTTAGTAAAAATTACAGTGTGGTAAAGAATAGATTGTCCAAGCATAACAGGAAAATGAATTTGATTCAGGATAAGCTATGTTATACTGCAGTAGAGTACCTTGCACCATGAGCCACAGATCATAATCAGAGCAGAAGAAAAGTTTCCAAATTTGTTATGGGCAACTTTAAGCACTGAAGGAGAATTCAGATTCTCTTTAAAAGAAACTTTGATGGTGTGGACATCATTTCCCCGTAGAAGCTTTGACAATCTCAGCTTAAGTATGCTGAGCTATTTCAAAATTAATTAAAAATTGTTAGACAATATTAAATGAAACTTAGAATGAAATAAATAGTTAACACTAGTCCATGTAATCCAGATAAAAATATACTTAATAGTAAATATATTCTATTTAAATATATATTTAAATCATCCCAAATATACAGGGCCAAGCCGTCTTTTGATAAAGAAGAAAAGCTTTTCACTTTACATCAACTGTTTTTGTATTACGTTAATATTGTATTATAGTGTGCTCCAACTCACTGCTGAAAATGTGGACTTCCTTTCCTCATCTTTCTATAACATTACTTAAAGTTTTAAGCTTTGGTTAAATATGAACTGTCAAATCTTGCTAAAATTATACTTTTGCAGAATTTACTTCCCATGTACTTTTTTTTAACCGTTCCACATAAAATTGCAAATTGATGAAGATGATGAATTAACAATCTGCTTGTGAGAGAGGAATTTCTTATGCTCAGATTGAACAGTTCACATCTGGGAGAGAAGTTATGTTACTTTCCAGAAATGTCTTGAAATAAAGGCAAAACCAGACATGCACGAGTGCTTTCAGACACAGTCTTCAGGTTTGGACAGAACAAAAATTAGCTTAATATAACCTTGTTTCCAAATTTCTACCTTTGACAATACAAATCATGTCAAGTTGAAAACGAGAAATTTTAAGGGTTACCGGTTTCCTGCTCTTAAGCCAAGGATGATCTAAATGATTTACCCAGATACCTGATGTTTACAGTACTTTGAAATTTTGTGCTTTATCTTTGTGTTTATTCTTGCCTGTGCATAATTATTCACATTTATTACCTAGAAAATCATTCACAATCTCATTTCAACGAATAAGTTAAATAATTTATCTTGCAGATGTTTTCTTGGTTTTATTATTTGTGCAAATTAATCCTTTTTTATTATTATTTTACAGTTATATAAAAATATGTGGGCAGATATCCTTCAAGGCAGCAAAGTTCTGAACAGACCTTCCTGGTGGGCAGAATTTTGTGTTAATAAACCTGTTACAAGCAGGCTGAGGTCAAGATTGTAAACCAAACAACTCGTGAGAGGCTGGATAGGCCTAAGATGGATACTGTATTTCAAACATCAGGAGGAAATAAGACCACATGTCAAACAGTGAAATTGAAAGAGATTTTCACAGAGAAGTGCCGAGTTTTAAAATAACTTTGAAATCACGTCCAGCTTGGTCTCAGGGACTGTTAACATGATAATGACAGGAGCAAGAGCAGCACATCTGCACGCTATTCATATTTACTCAATTAAATACAAAAAAAACCCCAAAGACTCATGGTCACTGCTTTGCAAAGTTGCTACAAAAGAAGTGTTCCAATCAGTCTCTTGACTTTACTGTCATCTGACAGAAGTTAAATAATTAAGAAACCTTTTCCACCAGGGATTATGAATGAGCTGAACAACAGCAAAATAAAAGATGATTTGAAGAAAAAAAAAGAAACAAGACATCAAGAACACCAACAGTGATAAAGCTGTATTAAGGGATGGGAATCATTTCCATCAGCCTCTTTGAAGTCTGTGTAGCTATTCTGATTTACTTCGTATGCCTCTGCGGTAAACTACTTGATTGCTCTTTCAGTGCAGGAGAGGATTGGGATTTTAGATAACCTGTCTTTAAATTGTGTATGACTCTGTAGATGAAATGAATTGAAAACAACTTGCTTATACATCTTTTCTAGAAAATGTATGATAATGCATCAGCTTGCAAGTCTTATCTATGTTCTTGCTTGGTTGCAATGTTTTCTGTGCTGCAAAGCCGGTATCAAGCCTGGGAGACACTGACACACAGAAACTGCAACGATGTTTTAGCAGATGAGTTATGGTCTTAAAAGAGCATACAACAGTGGTAGGCAGTACTGAACATATTAGGATATTTCTCTTTCAGCTATATCAACTATCAAATATTTTTGTTCACAAATGGAAGAGACACTAACAAAGCTTTGAAAATTGAGAATATTTTCTGTTTTAGATATGCTGTGAAAAACAAATTATTTCCTTTATTGCATCTATGAACTGAAGTACTGTTAAAACCTAACTCCTGTTGCCTTGACTGTTGTAAGTAGTCTTATCAAGCCAAAGAGAATATTTTATAAATGAAAAAATTCAGTATTCTTTATGGATAAAGAGGGACAAATTATGGTTTGGGCTATTAAATAAACGTGATTTCAGTACTTGAGTGTTGAATTCTGCTTGAGCAGAAACAGACGCTTGTCCTTGTCGTGGGGTTTTATCATTTCATCTGTTGTTGCAGTGTCAATATTTGAAAGTTTGTAAGTCTTTACAGACTGCCACAATGTGACCAAGTAGCTCTGTAGAGACTCTGATTCTCTCTAAATCAGACAGAGCTCAGGAAATATTTCATGGCTGGAGAACGTATTGAAAGGCCAATGTTAAAAAGATTTCTCAGGGTACTTCAAGGTACATTTATTTAATAAATAGAGTAATTTTTTTTAAGTTTGTATTTTTAAGACCAGTTTGTCAGAGAATCTGAGGCCTCTAAGTGTGTAACAATGCAAGTACAGTTTAGAACAGGCCAGACAGAAGCTTTATTAACTATGATTGTAGTGAGAGAACACTCTGCCGAGAGCATCTCACTTTCTGCTCCTCTGTTCTCAGCCAACTGGTTGCAAAGACTCAACCTATATACTGTTTCAGAAAAAGACTGAAAGAGGTGAGGAAAAGCAATCGTTTAAACGTTAACAAAGCCAGGTATCCATCCCTGGAGGCATGGACTCCTTAGGTAGCTTGTTAACTGCCACAATTCTAAGGAATCAAACTAAGTAACATGAAAATACAAAGAGTTGGCTCTTGGTGGAGCCTGAATTAGTGGCACACCTCATGTTATTTTAGCTCAAAAGTAGGAAGCTGGGAACAATCACAGACTGTTGGTTTTTAATCAAAAAGAGCGTTCGTTTAGTAATGGTAACTCCTTAGCCAGACCACTCAATCTTAAATATTAATAATTTTACCACCACAAGTTCAAGGTCAATTAAAGATGATCACCCTCAACACACTTTGGTAAAAAAAAAAAACAACAAGCAAACAAACAAAAACCCCAAAATGCTGAAACTGTTGTTTATAGTCCCATTGGAAAGATTGATAAAAACTCTCTTGTTAAACCTTACCTGTATTTTTTTTTCTGAACTTCATTTTCTTTCCCAGAGATAGTCAATGTTGCCTGTGTTTTTTTGACCTCTATTCTTTCTTCTTTTCTAATAAGATTCCATAAGTCAGGATGTCCCAACAGAAGCTCATTGTCTCAGGAAACAGTCAACAGCTGCCTTGGCTGAAAAAAAAAAACAGTATAAATTATTTATTTTCTTTGAACTGTTTTGCCTCTTTTAATAATGTCCAATAGGTGGCGTCATCCCATGGCAAAAAAAAAAAAAAAGGTCAGTACAGCTGAATACCTATCATTAGATATTATGAAATCATGGAGTCTCATGATTATCTTCATCTATTTTCTGCATCAATAGGGAATCTAGCAAGTGCCTCCTGCTTGCATTCATGCAGACCGGGAGGAAGTAGGCAGAGCACATTATGCCCAATATCCAGGGTGAGCACCAGGATCTCTGACAATGAAAAAGGCAAATGGGGAAGAGATGCCTCATTACATAAGATGCAGAGACTGGTAGTGTTGATCTGTCACTCCACATTCTGTATTATCAATTGATCAGCAGCATTATTTCACTGTTTTACACACATGCAGTTTCACCATCACCTCTGAGCTCTTCATGCATGATACAGTCTTTTCCTGCCTCCTTCCTCACAGCTGGGAAACAGAGCTGTATATAAATCTTGCATATAATCTATAAGTCTATTTATGAGGTCTTTGTAGCCCAGAGAAAAAAAACAAACCACACGTGTTTGACATGTAGCTTAAGCCACCATCATCCAACAAAAAAATCCCTGAGAGATCAGCTGTGTCACAGTAGAACAGAACTGAAGACCCAGTGAGCCCCACAGATACCCACCAAATGCAAGACGAGATAAACAGCTGTTCCTAATCTAATAAGATTAGCTGTTCCTGCTAATCTTATTTATTATGACTATTTAGTCAACATCCAAACTCCCTGATGAAAACTGAGCCCCTCCGTGCTGGTAAGGACTGTACAAACTGGCAGGAAAGTGCTGTTTGTTCTGAAAAGCTTCTGGCTTCGACTAGAGCAAGTGCTGCAGAGAGCACATCAGCAAGGATGTGATTAGACAGGCAAAATGGGATACTCAGTAAAATGTCACAATTCTGGACACTAGTATGAACTGTCACACCACGTGCACTAAGCTTAGAGCTTCGTGGGATCCCTGGAAAACCACACAGTTACTGGGAGGAGATAGACCCCCGAGCACCAAAGCTGAAATAAGTGAAAGCGAAGCAGGGGTACTGTGAGGGCTTATAATGGGGACTTACCCGTTATAACCCCACAGGTCTCCATATCCAGCCATGGGGTGATAGTGGCTGCTCACCATGACGGTTTACAAGTTCATTGCAGGTGTTCAGCAGCTGTTGGACTTCATATGCTACCAGCAAAGGCTATCTCCATTTGCTCCCTCCCACACCCAGTACAAAGCCACAGCCCAGCGCAGGCGGGCTCACTCTATGGGTCAGAGCCGCTCTGCACTCAATATTGTCAAAACTCTAGTATTTTTTATATAAATACGTGGATGACCATTCTTTAATCAGTTATAACTAAGAATTTCTGACTTGTATGTTAAGCCAGACCTGTGTAATCAAATGACCAAAACATCATTTCCCTCCAAAGTAGACGATAAACCAAAGGTTCTAGAGGTCTTCTACATCCAGCTTCTCAGAGCAGCAGCAATGTTAAGTGTGAACTTGGAGAGCTGCAGCATGGAGGGAGAAATATGTCATGAAACTTGGCCTCCAATTATCTACTAAATCATAGGGATTTAATTCAACAACTACCACAAGATGTCATTATTATATGCAGTTTGTTCCTCTTTACAGGACATGAAATAAAAGGGGCCTCTCTGGCAGAATAGAAAAGTCATTTCCCTCGTAGTTCAGATGCCAAATGAAGTTGGATGTGTCATCTTATCTTGGTTGGGGAGCTGGGTCAAAGGCTGTCAAATAGCTTCAGTCCAAAACAATGGCTATGGGAATCTGTCCTTTCGAGCTGCCACATGAAGGCAGCTAAATCTGTCACCAGAAAGTTGAATCCAAGTAGTCCTGAAGGAGCCCCAACCTACTGCATCCCCTTGGCAGTGGTGGCTTGTCTCCCTGGATAGCAGCATTTTCCTTCTTTCTGACTTTGTCAAACCATCTACCTGCCAAGGGTATTTCAAACTGGCTTCCTCTGTGATGTGATTCAATTAAAGCAAAAAATCTCTTTTCTATCAGAGAAAAAATGAATTGTTCACGTGTGTTAGGACACTGAATGCACACACCTCCCTTGCTGATGTGATCGCCTTTTGTAGGAGCGATGGTATTGGGAGGAAGGCTTAGGGAGCCCGATGGAAGCTCTGCTGCCTTTAGCTGCAGTTGTGGGTACGTGTTTCCCAGAGATGCTTGTTTTCTGCAGAGATAAGTAGACTCATACGCAACCATTTCTGTCTGAAAGCCCTTTTTGCCCTTATAATAAATGATTTATCACGCGTTCTGCGGGGTAGCACGCTTCTCTTCTGTTTGCCATTACTCACGTATTTGCTTTACTGACTTCATGTGTTTTCAAACCTGAGTGGTGATTTAATACTCGCACGTGCCATCAGCACGACCGGTCTCTCTCTCTCGGATGCAACCGCATGGACACCATGGAGCCCTGTGTTTGCTCTTGTCGCCCTGCACCTCCACGGGCCCTAGAGACAGCTTGTTATTCCCAATTCTCAATAGCCTGGGATCAGAGTGAGGCTCCAGATCATTGTAGCTCGGTTCACTGGCCTAAGGAGCACCGGAGGCAAAGGGGAGCTCGCTGCAGGAGACATCCATGTGACAGTATCATCTGAGACGGGCAGATCCAGCCAGGGGAAGGTCAGCTGTGATCACAGCGGGCTGTCCGCAACGCTGTCAGTGGGAACAGAAGCATAAAGCTGCACTCTTCGCCAAGCAAGCCAAGTCCCAGGTTTATCAAATACAGGCGGAGTGTTTCACTTCGTTTCCTTTCAGAGGCAGAAAGAGAGATGAAAGCAGTCTTTGCTGAGAGCAACAGTTCTCCTGACTACCTTGCCTTTTTCTTTCCCAAATTTTTGCGG